GCGGCGCGGCGGGCAGCGACAGCAGCGGCAGCCTGAGTGGGGGCGGCGGGGAGGAGGGGCAGCAGGGGGGGTCTGATGATCCGGGGCTGTTCATGAACGACACGTGCAGCCTGAGGGTGGCGTCGCTGGACGGTGCGCCCGCGGACGGCGCCGCGCCGCGCAAGCGGCCGCGCCTCAGCAGCGCCGACGGCGGCGGGAGCGGCGGAGGCGCCGGCGGCGCAGCGGAGGAGCAGCCACGGAAGCCGCGGTGGCTGGAAGAGCAGCAGGCGGTCTGCCGCGCCGGCTGTGCGCACGAGCTGGCTGTTGCAGACGCGGCCGCCGCGGCCCCGGCGGAGCCTGTCACGTCAGCGCCGGACGCTCCCGCGTGCGGCGGCAGCCCGAGCGATGCCTCGCCCCACGCCTGCGCGCCGGGCGCCGCGCCCTCTCAGTCGGCTGCCGCGCCGCAGCAGGAGCAGCAGCAGCAGCCGCCGCCGCCGCCGCCGTCTCCCCTTGGCGTCATCAAGCAGCGGCAGGCCGGCTGCGGGGTCAGCCCCATAGACCACATCTTTCAATTCCATAAGGCCCTGCGCCAGGAGCTGCGCCAGCTGGAGGCCGACGCGGCAGACCTGGAGGCGGCGGTCTTCGCAGGCCCGGCGGGCGATGGCGGCGGCGGCGGCGACGCGGAAGACGAGGGCGGGGCCGCGGAGAGGGCGGCGTTCCGGCAGCGGTACTCGTCGGCGCTGCAGCAGCTGGACGGGCGGTTCAAGTTCCTGTGGGGCATCTACAGGTGTGTGGGCCCGAGGTTGCGGGCATGGCCCGGCGACCGTCAGCCAAATTGCGAGCCGCCGGTGCAGTCGCATGCTCGCTCGCGCCGCTGGGTATTTCTGCCCAGCCACAGTGCAGCCCGCCGCTCTCTGCCTCCGACGAGAACGCTATCCCCAAACTCTCCCCTGGTTCCAACCCGCCCCTGCCTCCAACCTCACATTGTCCCCTCACCCCCTCCTGTTTCTCCAAACCCCATGCCAACCGCTGCCCCGCTGCCCCGTCACCCCACCGCAGGGCGCACTCTCGGTCTGAGGACGAGATTGTGTTCCCGGCCCTCGAGTCCAAGGAGGCGCTGCACAACGTCAGCCACGCATACACCCTGGACCACGAGCAGGCAGGCGCCGCCGCTCGCGCGACGCGCCGCCCGCGGCCGCAGCCGCGGCACCTCCCAATTCCCCTTGCCGCGCGCGTGGCGCCGCGTGCTCCTGCGCGGCCCACCCCGCCTTGGCCGTGCGCCTCAAACGCCATTCAAATTTTGAACCTCCCGCTCTTTTTGCCTGCCTAATCCCGCCCCGCAGGAGGAGAACCTCTTCACTGACCTGGCGGCCATCATATCCCAGATGCAGCAGACCCTGCGCCGCGGCGGCCCCCAGGGCACACACCACCCGCAGCAGCAGCAGCAGCAGCAGCAGCAAGAGGCCGCAGGTCCGACCGCGGAGGGCGAGCCGGGCTCGCAACCAGCCCCGGCGCCCGCAGCCGCCGCCGCCGCCGCCGCCAGCGGCGGCGATGACGTGGAGGAGGTGCGGGAGCTTGTGCTGCAGCTGCGCCGCATGTGCGCCGCTGTCAGGGCCTCACTTGAGACTCACGTGCGCGCGGAGGAGGCCGAGCTGTGGCCGCTGTTCGCGGAGCACTTCACATTTGAGGAGCAGCAGCATCTGGTCGGCGTCATCATCGGCCGCACAGGCGCGGAAGTCCTGCAGGCGCTGCTGCCGTGGGTGACCGGGTCGTTTTCGGAGGAGGAGGCGGGGGCCATGATGGAATCTCTGCGGGCGGCGACGCGCAACACGAGCTTTGACCGGTGGCTGGGCGCGACCATGACGGCCGGCGCGGCCGGCGGCGGCGGGGGCAGTGCGGCGGCGGCGGCGGCCGCCCCGGCGGGGCAGCAGCAGGAGGAGCAGCAGGAGGAGCAGGGGGAGGAGCAGGAGCGGCGGCGGAGGGCTGACCTGGACTCGAGCCTGGCGGAGATTGCGGAGTACCTGGTGGCGGCGCCGCCGCCCGACGACGGCCCCGAGGCCGCCGCCTCCCCGCCCGCCGGCGGCGGCTGCGCGGGCTGCGGCGCCGGTGCCAGCGGCGCGCCGCGGCGCCGCGCGGCGCCGCAGCAGCTGCAGGAGGCGAGCGGGACCGTCGCGGAGAGCAGCAGCTACCGGCCTGGCTGGGAGGAGATCTTCAACATCAACCAGAAGCAGCTGGAGGCGGCGATCCGGCGCGTCAGCAACGACCCCAGCCTGGAGCCGCAGCGCAAGGCGTATCTCATACAAAACATCATGGTGTCAAGGTGGGGGCGTGATCTGGTGATCTGGGGCGCGATCTGGGCGGCGGCAGTGGGGGACGTGCCAGAAGTGCAGCGCTGCCCGGGGCGCCGCGGGCGGGGGCCAGGGTACCGCGGGTGGGCGCAGGCAGGGCGGGGTGTCGCACTGCTGATCGTGGAATCAGTGGCCCTCGAACCCTCTAGCTGCCACCGTAGCGCCGCCTGAACGCCAGTGGTCTGGGACGTCTTCACCTCATGCGCCGCGCCCCTCGTGCGTGCCGCAGGTACATCGTGGCCAACCAGCGCCGCATGCGCGCCAAGGGGACGCCCGCCGCCACGCCGCAGGTCGCGCCGCGCCCCGGCTCCCCGCCCCCCGCGGCGCCGGCGCTCACGCTGCCGGCCGGCGCGGGCCAGCTCCACGAGCGGCACCAGCAGCAGCAGCAGCAGCAGCAGCAGCAGCGGGAGGGCGAAGGGCAGGGGCAGCAGCAGCAGCAGCGGGCGGCAGTGGCGGCAGCTGTCGCGTCGCCCGCGCCGGCGCGGCGGCGGCACGCGCGCACGTATCACGACGAGGCCGCGGGCGTGCTGGGCTGCCGCCACTACCGCCGCAGCGCGCGGCTCGTCGCGCCCTGCTGCGGCGAGGTGCACACGTGCAGGTGGGGGTCGGGCCGCTCCAGGGTTGCCGTGGCAGGGGCCGCTCAGCGGGCCCCTGCCGGGCGAGCCCAGTGCTTGCTCTGCGCCGCGGTGTCTGGCTGACCCGGCTGATGCTCAGGGACGCATGCACCTACCGACCGCCCCTCATGCCGCCTCCTGGCCGCTCCGCCACGCTCAATCCCCTCCTTCCCCCCTTACACCCTTGCCGGCGCCAGCGCGGCCCTAATCCCCGCTCGCACCCCTGTCCCACCCCCCTTCTGGCTCGCCCCTCCGTAGCCCTGTTCGGCCCTCAGCTCGCAGCACCCATTCCGCTCTTGACAAGTGCTCCCCCCAACACACACACACACACACACACACATCTCCCACCTGGCTCAGGCTGTGCCACGACGAGGTGTCCGACCACCGGATGGACCGCTACGCGGTGTCAGAGATGGCCTGCATGGAGTGCGGCGCCCGCCAGCCCGTCGCCGGCGCGTGCGCGGCCTGCGGCGCGTCGATGGCGCGCTACTACTGCTCCATCTGCCACCTGTTTGACGACGAGCCCGGCCGCAGCATCTACCACTGTCCCTTCTGCAACGTGTGCCGGCGCGGGCAGGGGCTGGGGGTGGACTTCTTCCACTGCATGCAGTGCAACGCGTGCATGAGCCTGGGGCTGTTCAACCAGCACACCTGCAGGGAGCGCGCCATGGAGGTGCGAATGCAGAGGGAGGGCGATATGGG